ATGTTGTTGATAGCTGGAGCAAAGTCACATTGCAAGCAGGTCAACAGATCACGAATAGTGCTGTAAGTACGTTTCCTTTTCTCCTGCCACGTATCTGCTGTAACCAGAGACGTTTAGTTTTTAGCGTAATGACCCCATATCCCAAAATGAAAGGTGTCAGTGCTGGTGTTGGATCTATCGTGTGTGCTTTGAGTCGAGTTTTATGAGAGCCCAAAAGAGCTCAAACAGTCTTCAGCACTTCTCTGAGAGAAGACGTTATCGAAGACAGCGAGAGGGTACGGCAAAAAGCATTTCGGGACCTTTGTGAGGGTAGGGTTCACGTAAAACATAACTGAATGATCGTGGGTGATGGGAGGTATCTTCAGCTTATGAGGGTTTAAGCCTTGGCTATAGCTCCCTAGCGCACTCTCAAATGTTTTCGTGCCTAATTTGAATCCTCATGCTGACAAGGTTAACTGGTGTGGCCAGGTTTGGATGCGATTGGAGTCCGGTGTACTGGCGCCTGGTAAGCACCCCACTACCTATAAATCATGTCTCTGATGTGCGGATATGACCAGGATTCTTAGAAGGAGTTACAGGAGTTATGTATGATGACACCACAAGTCCTATGCATATATTAGGGTACTGTGGGATCTATGTGCCAGCAGCCTCCATCATGTCTGACATGGAAGAGCGGTGAACTGGTCGCCAAGTGGAGGTTGCTGGGCTATATCCTCTTTTGTGCACGTTGGATCCTTGTTGGCACTTCCCTATTTCTGATGGGGCCCATTTTTGGGGTGAGCGGCTTACTTCATGCATATAATCATTTGAAGCATGTGAAGCTGTACATGGTGGCTGTCATATGGAGGTGGTTTCATTACTTCTTTGCAATAAACACCCTTGAACTTGCAGCCGTCGTGCCACGACCCTTACGTGAGTGGGGTAAAAAAATGTTGCATCAAAAGTTAATGGTCAACGAAAGCCACATGGGCTGTCACTTCTGCAATGGTCAGCACCAAGAGGCCAACAAAGAACACTGATGGTGTTTAAGGTGAACTTGGTCAGCACCAAACGGTCGAGATACACTGGTGTGTTTTGAGGCGAGCCCAGTCAGCACTAGGGGGCCGATGGAGATCACTGATGGCATTTGAGCCCGGTTGTTGAGGTTGGTGATGGATCAGTCTAGGTGGTTACCATCCATCATTCCCCTTGGTCACCGCTTTTCTGGCTGCTCTGATCATCCTTTGATGCTGGTCTCCTGGCTACATGTCTCCCATCTGTTCACATCAGTTGGCATCAGTTGGTTGACTACACAACTGATGCAACCGGTCCAACAGTCAGTTGGTTGCTCAGATCACTGATCCCAACTGTCCATCTCCACATGCTTGATCCCTATCTTTGATATCTCCTCTTGTTACTTGTTACCATAGCTTCCATCATAGCTAGATGTATCTAGGGAGCAGGGATGGAGCCCAGAGTCCTCAGACTTGGACTCACAGCTCCAGTCCCTTGCTCCCAGGTCTGTCCCTAGTTGTATCTCAATAGACTTCGACCCACAGCTCCATTCCCTTGCTCCCAGCTCGCTACAGCGCGTCAGACAGCCTCCTACGCTGTTAGGTTATGAGCCCTGCGCTCTGACCGCTTGTTTCGACGCTACTGCTGCTGCACACACGCCTCTGCCGCTGTTGCAAGCCTCCTGCCTTCCCCTGGCACTCCCTGCACATCTGTGCGGTGCTCTATGCTCCCCAGTGTCTCCCTGCGCTCCCTGCGCCTCCTCCGTCCCCTCCTGCGCATTTCCCGTGCTGCCACAGGCTTTAACGGTCCCTTGATCTCCTGCGAGCACTTGTAGATACATAGGGCTTCCACAGCTACACATAAACACTTGGGTGGGCAGAACTTGGAGTGGGTTTATCCCCGTCTACCTTGATTGGCTTCGCCGCCTTTCAGCCCTGGAATAAGCCACACCGGGTATCCATTCCTTTGTGTGTGTGGCAGGGGTCAAATTCGTGTCTGTGTGGCTCTCCCCATCTATAAGTAACTAGTTTTGCGTGATTTGCGTGATCTACGGGCTCTTCTCGCTTTTCTACATCGTTAGATAGCTTAGACAGACTCTTCTTCGCGCCTGGGACGTCCTACACGCACCGCACACCCTCCTACACCTCCACAACTCGGCTCACCTCGCCCTCCTTGCATCATCATCACCATATCTCACCTACTTCACCTATCTCCACCTCACTCCAGCATCAGGACACCATGTCCTCGTCTAAAGAGCTCACCTCCTCTCGTGGTCTCGCCCCTGAACGACGTCAACTATGCCCAATGGGCGGAGATGCGGGCCTACTTGGCTGAGAACAAGCTCTGGTTCCTAGTCATCCGAACCATCAAGGAGCCGAGTGCAGGGGACCCGGAGCACATCACCTACCTCGAGAAGTCGGCTCAGGCCGCTGGGGCCATGTTCCTTGCTGTGGATGCGTCCCAGCATGTTCATTTTACCGGGATCGAGTTGGATGCACCTCTGATCTGGGCCAAGCTCCAATCCGTCCACCTTCAGAAGGTTTCTGGGGCGCATTACAACGCTCTGGATGCTGTTTTCGCCGTCAGAAAGCAGCCTGACGAGTCACTGCCTTCCCTGGCCTCCAGGGTGGACACCCTCGTTCAGACCTTCAAGGACTTGTGCCCGGACAGCTACACGCTCGAGCAGCTGCTCGCAGATCTAGCTGCCATGTCCATGCTTCGATCCCTGCCCCAGGAGTATGACTCCTTCACTTCAGGTCTCATTCAGCGGGATGCCACCAAGTCTGAGATTGTTCAAGCTCTCGTGCAGGAGCACCAGACGCGGAATGGCCGCCAGGATGGTTCCGCCTCTGCAGAAACCCTTGCCATGCGCGTGGCAACGCCTACAGCTAGCAAGGCGGACCTCATGTGCGATTTCTGCGAGATGAAGGGTCCCGACGAGGAGCACTGCTTTGCCAAGCGCGATGCGCGCTCCGCTGCTCGTCAGAAGGCTGCCGAAAGGCGCCAGAATCGCCGCAACAACAAGAAAGGAGGCTCACAGCAGGCCCAGGAGGCTGCTGCAGTCCCCAACTCCACTCAGGCCGTCTCTATGGCTTATGCCGTCGAGCACGCCCTTGACGTGAGTTCTCCTGCCTTGAACGGCCCTTCACGCGATCCCAGCGCTGATTGGAACGCAGACACAGGCGCCACTTGTCATATGACGCCTCACCGTGACTGGTTCTCTTCCTACAAGCCCCACAAGATACCCCTTCGCCTTGCAGACTCCAAAGTGATCTACTCGGCCGGTGTGGGCTCTGTGCGCTTCATGCCGCAGATAGGAGGGAAGCCTGGGCGGTTGCTCGAGTTTGAGCATGTCCTGCATGTTCCTCACCTCGGGTCTAGTCTCCTCTCCGTGCTGTATTTTAACTCGCGAACGTGGTTTCTCTGTCTCGATCGAGCGCGACGTAATCTCCTTCCGCCGATCAGGAGCTCTGCTGTTCACCGCGACGTGCAACTCCAACAATGCCGCTTACCTCGACGGCAGGACAGTCCCACCTCTGCAGTTGGCTCAGCCGGCGAGTACCGTCCCTCTGGACCTGTCTCTGTGGCACAAGCACTTTGCCCGTGTCCACCACGCGGCGATAAAGCAGCTGATCGACCAGGGACTTGCCAAGGGCGTTGTCATTGCTTCCCCTGCAGGCAAGCAGCGGCGTCCCGACGTGCCCAGGATTGCTCAGCACCGCGCCTCCAAGCCTCTGGATCTGCTGCACATGGACTTGCATGGTCCTGTGCCGGTCAGGACTCCGGAAGGCTACCGGTACTGGCACCTGATTGTAGACGACTGCACGCGCATCTACGGCCTCTTCCTGCTTCGCAGAAAGGCCGAGGCCTTCCCAGCTTTGCGACGCTTCGTCCAATGGGCGGAGAACAAGCTCGGGACGCGTGTTAAAAGGGATGACAAAGGCGGCGAGTGGATGTCCAAGGAGCAGGAGCGATGGTGGATAGAACGAGGCATCGAGAGGCAGCACACCGTTTGCGACGAACCTCATCAGAACGGTGTTGCGGAACGAGCTAACCAGTCCCTGGCCAACGGTGCAACCTCTTTGCTCGTTGAGTCAAACTTGCCCCCATCGTTTTGGGGTTATGCCGTTCAAACCTACGTCTATGCGCGCAACAGAGCGCCTACCTCTGCTCTGCCTGCATCTCTGACACCCTACATCGCCTTCTTTGGGGAGAAACCGGATGTGGACCACCTGAGGGCTTTTGGATGCGCTGCCTACGTGCACGTACAGAAGGACCAACGCCGTGGCCTTCAATCCCACACCCAGAAGTGTGTGTTCATTGGTTATCCCTCGGAGTACAAGGGATGGCTCTTCTACAACCCGGAGACAAAGAAAGTTCTAATCTCCAATGCTGCCATCTTCGATGAACGCAGTTTTCCGGGTTTGAAGTCGGCCGCATGGGACGTTTCCAAGGACTTCTTGCTCGAGTCGTTGCCTTCAGAGTTGCCGGATCAGGTGGGAGTGGTTCCACCGCCCCCGGAGCACCCCCAAGACGAGCAGAAACCTGCCGTCCAAGCCTTGCCTGGTCCGGTGGGAGTGGGTGATCCTGCACCCCTTCCAGCAGCTCCTGATGCGCCTGCAGAAGGTCCTGAGCTCCCTGCACCTGCCCCGCCTCCTGAACATCTCCAGCCTGCTCCACAGGACGCTCCAGGTCCCAGTAGACGGCCCAGAACGCGTCAAGCGTCCAAGCGTCGTGCCAGCTCTTCACCACCTCCAGAGCTTTGTCGCAGCACTCGGCACAGGACTCCACCCAAGCCTTGGTGGGAGGTTCCTAAGCTTCGCCCTCGCGAGCCAGCTCCTGTCATCGAGTCCGAGAGCTCCGAGAGTTCTGAGGACGAGCTGGACTTGCTCAGGCCGGGTGCAGATGACCCTGACTTGCAGGAGGCTCATATCGCCGCTGCAGTCGAGGCAGGCATTGACTTCTTGGCTGGTGACTTCTTGGAGTTAGACGACGCTTTCCAGAACGCATTCGAGACGTGTGCTCTCAAGGCGGCTGCTCATAGCCCAGAGCCTCGCTCATACAAGGATGCTATGCGTCGTCCTGACTTTGACAAGTGGCATCAGGCGGCCGTTGAAGAGATCGAAGCACACATGCGCAACGGGACTTGGACCCTCGTTCAGCTGCCTCCAGACCGGAGAGCCATAGGCTGTCGCTGGGTTTTCAAGGTCAAGCGCAACGCAGACGGCTCCCTAGAGCGCTATAAGGCTCGATTGGTGGCCAAGGGCTTCAGCCAGCGCCCTGGACTCGATTACAACGAGACCTTTGCCCCTACAGCCAAGTGGGCCACTCTGCGAGCCGTCCTTGCCATGTGTGCCCTGGAGGACTACGAAGCAGACGCCGTAGACATCTCGAATGCGTTCCTCAACGGGGATTTAACGCAGGACGTCTACATGCTTCAGCCTGAGGGGTTCGAGCAGGGTGACAAGGACATGGTCTGCAAGCTCAACCGTTCTCTGTACGGTTTGAAGCAGGCCTCACGGGTCTGGTACCAGAAGCTGGACGGTGCTCTGCAGGAGATGGGATTCGCTCGCACCCGGTGTGATCACTGCGTGTTTGTTTCGAGAAAAGGCACCACCCACGTCATCGTGCCGGTCTACGTCGACGATCTGACGATCGTTGGCAGGCCCAAGGCAGACAAGGATGCCGTGAAGGCTGAACTTGCTCGCCGTTTCAAACTGCGTGATCTCGGGCCCATCTCCTTGCTGCTGGCCGTCGGTATCACTCGGGACCGCGCCAAGCGTCAGTTATCCATGGATCAGCGCCGTTACACTCAGGACATGCTTGACACCTTTGGAATGACCGACTGCTCGCCGGTGCTCACTCCTATGGACCCAAACACTCGCTTGTCGGCGTCCATGTCACCCCAGACTCCGGAGGAGAAGGCGGAGATGGTGGGAGTTCCCTACATCAATGGCGTGGGCGCCCTGCTCTACCTGGCCATTGCCACTCGTCCAGACATTGCCCATGCGGTGGGAGTGCTGTCCCGGTTCTCCAAGGCCCCAGGTCCGCGTCATTGGACCGCCGTGAAGCATCTGTTTCGCTACTTGAAGGGCACGCTGGACTACAAGCTGACCTTTGGGCCGGACGAGTCAGGAGAGCCGTTCACCTCCTTTGTGGACGCCGATCACGGTGGAAACCCTGACAACGGGCGCTCTACCTCCGAATTTGTGCTCAAGAGCGGCTCTGGAGCTGTCAGCTGGTCCAGCAAGCTCCAGACGACTGTTGCACTGTCTACAACGGAAGCCGAGCATGCGGCAGCCTGCTATGCCGGCAGAGAGGTCCTTGGGCTTCGCAACCCGCTCTCTGAGCTCAGATTCGAAGCTACAGCCGCTCCCTCCAGACTCCGGATAGACAACCAGTCTGCCATCTCTGTGGACTACATCCCAAATGTCCCAGATGCCTGCAGACGCTTTGACCAAGGCTTTAGGTGCTGCTAAGGTTGCAGAGCGCGCCAGGATGATGGGATTGACTTCTTCATCAGGTGGGAGTGTTGAGGATGGTGCTGGATCAGTCTAGGTGGTTACCATCCATCATTCCCCTTGGTCACCGCTTTTCTGGCTGCTCTGATCATCATTGGATGCTGGTCTGCTGGCTATATGTCTCCCATCTGTTCACATCAGTTGGCACTGGTGGGTTGACCACACAACTGATGCAACCGGTCCCACAGTCAGTTGGTTGCTTAGATCACTGATTCCAACTGTCCATCTCCACATGCTTGATCCTTATCTCCCTAGCTTCGATGTCTCCCTTTGTTACCTGTTACCATAGCTTCCATCATAGCTAGATGTATTTAGGGAGCAGGCAGAGTCCTCAGACTTCGACTCACGGCTCCATTCCCTTGCTCCTAGGCCTGTCTCTAGTTGTATCTCAATAGACTTCGACCCACAGCTCCATTCCCATGCTCCCAGCTCCCAGCTCGCTACAGCGCGTCAGACAGCCCCCTACGCTGTTGGTAAGCGACGTCGTCAAGAGTGCTGGGAGCCACGGAGGTCGACAAGCAGAGGTTGAGGTCTATAGGAGTCTTCACCGGGCTGCAGGTGCTGAATCTGTAGGTGTTGAAGATGTCGAGGACGTACTGGTGCTGATCTGGTGCTGATCCAGAGTCATGGTGCGGTTGGGGTGGTCCCAGGTGATGTGCACGCCGAGTAGGTGCGAGACAGGACCCAGGTAACGAAGCTTGAAGCTCCGGGAGAGCTCCTCGATAACCGCATCCTTGGCCTCCTTGCTCTTGGAGACGATGGTCAGATCATCTACAAACACCGGCACGATCACCTCGACACTGTCGCGCTCCCAGACGCAGATGCTCTTGTCGCAGCAGACCCGGGAGAAGCCCATCTCCTGCAGGGCGGCGTCGAGCTTCTGGTTCCAGATGCAAGGAGCCTGCTCAAAGCCGTCGGGCTGGTACATGTAGACCTCCTCCACCAGATCACCGATGAGGAAAGCGTTGGAGATGTCCACCAAGTCGACCTCCCAGTCTTCGAGGGCGCAGATGGCCAGGATAGCGCGGAGAGCGGCCCACTTGGCTGTAGGAGCAAAAGTTTTGTCGAAGTCGACTCCAGGGCGCTGAAGCCCTTGGCGACGAGGCGGGCCTTGTAGCGCTCCACAGAACCGTCGGCCTTGCGCTTGACCTTGAACACCCAACGAGAACCGATGGCCTTGCGTCCGGGAGGCAGCTGGACCAGTTCCCAAGTCCCATTGGCGACGTGGGCCTCGATTTCCTCCATGGCGGCCTTGTACCAGAGATCCGAGTCAGGACGCTTCATGGCCTCGCGGAAAGACCTAGGCTCGTTGCCCCGCGCCTCAGCCTTCAGTGCGCAAGTCTGAAAGGCAGCCTCAAGGCTCTGAGGGAAGGAGAGGTGGTCTGGCGACGAAGGAGCGGTGTAGACGGCGTCGAGGCCAGCTAGCACCAGCATGGCGTCTTCCGGCTCAGCGGCGGCCAGGGGATCTTCGGAGGAGGTGTTGTCCTCGTCCTCTCGCTGCTCTCGATGGCTGGAATGGGCTCCCGGTAGGCCTGAGGGGCTGGAGAGCGAGAGGGAACAATCCACCAAGGCTGCACGGGCTTGGGGGAATGTGTTGTCTGTGGTGACTTGCCAGCTCTCTGGCGCTTATTTCGCGTGGCTGTGGCCGCTTTAGCTCGTAGGCTGTGCTGACAGTTTTACTGGAGAGCCACAGACGAGTTGGGCACTTCATTCTGCTCACTGTCTGTGCTCTCCAGGTAGGATAGCCCTTTCCATGTATTTACTTCATTCTGCTCACTGTCTGTGCTCTCCAGCTCGTTCTCGAGTGTTGTCCAGCTGCTAGACGCCCTCAGACAACAGAATGGCGCTCGCATCTGAGGGCCAGAGGAGGAGTCGGAGGGCATTCAAAAGGCGTAGGAGGGCGCTCCGGGTCCGGTGACGGCACTGCGGAGCGGGGGACAGGCGATGGGGAGGCCTCAAGCGAGGCAGAACCAGTGGGAGGCGAGGACGAAGCCCGAGGAGACAGCAGAGGCATCTCAACTCTGGCAGGAGCGACAGGCAGCACATGGGGTGGTTCCAGAGTTCCCCCCCAGTTCAGGGAGGTCCTGGGCATCCTGAAGCAGCAGTAGTGCCATATCTCCCGCCGGAACCAGCGCAGGTGCATCAGGAGGAGAGCCAGGAGCGCCGTGCAGCGAAGGCAGGGCGCGGAGAAGGAAGTCAGAGGCAGCAGAGTCCCAGCTGGCGGTAGAACGCACTCCGGGGAAGTACTGCTCATCGAAAATAGCGGTGTTGGAGACGATCCGCTTGTGGGTGTCTGGGTTGTAGAAGAGCCATGCCTTGCAGTCCTCTGAGTAGCCAACAGAGATGCACTTCTCAGAGTAGGAAGAGAGGCCACGGTGCTTGTCCTTCTGGATGTTAACATAAGCAATGCACCTGAAGACCCGCAGGTGTTCCACAGAGTGCTTGATCCCGTACCAGCCAAAGTAGGGTGTTGCGCCCTTGGGCAAGGCAGTGGAGGGCGTCCTGGATGTAGGTGGCAATGGCGAGGCCCGAGAATGACAGAGGCAGGTTGGACCCACTAAGGAGAGCGGTGGCGCCCTCGGCCAGATTCCGGTTGGCGCGTTTGGCGACGCCGTTCTGGTGGGGCTCGTTGCAGATGCTGTGCTCACGTCGGATGCCTTCGGAAGTGCAAAGGTCATCCCAGTCCTTCGAGATGAACTTGGTGCCCTTGTTGTTGCGCAGTCCACCGATTCTGCGTCTGGTGAGCCGCTCAGCAAAGGCCTTGAACAGCAGGAAGACCTGGAACACGTTGCTCTTATGCCGGAGCAACACCATCACTCAGAAGCGGTGGGCATCGTCGACAAAGATCATCAGTACAACATCCAAGTGCAATTGTTTTCTTCTCACCAGTTCCTCAGCCCAGAAGCGATGAGTCTCACAGAAGATCAACTTTGAAGCCCTCGCACACAGCTGTGGCTTGTCGATAGATCGCCCCATGAGCCCTGTCTCCCCAACTTCTTTTCCACCATCCTCTCCAGGACTCCATGCCAAAAGGGTCCGAGTAGAGGTTAGATAACGTAAAGATGACCCACAATGTGCCTTACATCATGTTATGGTGCTACCTTCCTTCGATATTAGTTGCCTGGAGAAGGGATCTCAATATGATGTGGAATGGGCCACTGTGCATCCAAGTGCCGTCGATAATGTAACGGTTGAAGCTGTCAGAATGGTGAGTTCAGAATCAGCTACATTGTCCCATGTTAAGTGACCCTTCCATGCTTCAGTCGCACAAAGCTCTGCACAGAACTTCAGCAACGTATTGAGAGGTGAACTGTTGACTTGTATACACACTTGGATTGCAAAAATGCAAGAAGCCTCTGACGACGAATGCTGGAAACAAATTCTATGGACTGTCACGCCCATGGGCACCAAGGAGATCTTTGTTTCACATCTCAATGAGAGACAGGCACACCTGAAGGCGGAGAAGAACCAGCTGAAGGGCCTTCCTGAAATTCAGAACCTTTTGGGAATAGTTAGTGGTCCCATTGAATATCAGCTAGCGCATGTTGTGTTGAATATATGAAACCTATGTTTAGCTGGAGAATGGACAGGATACTGCTAATCCAGGGGCAGTTGAAGGACTGTGGCAGTTTGTTTGGAATGTTGTTTGCCAGAAACACCACTATGGGGACTCTGAATCTAAGGTCCACAAAATGTTTATTGAGCGTGCACGGCCGATGAAGAATACTCTGCTTCATGTCAAGAAAGCAGTGAAGATGATCAGAAAAGAGGCAATAGGGCTTGGTTACACCCAGTCAATTTCTTTTATATTGTATCAGCAGATCGGTGTTTTTTAAGCGGTGAAGTTCTTAGGGTTAGCAGGAAAGGCTATGTTTGAATCTAAGGCATCTTTCACTCAAGCCTTAGAGAGTGGTCAGATCCTTGACCATCATGTTATTTGTCTGGAGGAGGACAACTTTCACCTGGTGAAAGTGCCTGATGATAAGAAAGCTGTCGCATACATATATTATGGAAGAAGGACGATGATGCAGATACTGCTCCTCATGAAGACAAGGTAGTATGTGTTGTTGCAGTCACCCTGAGCAGTAGCAGACTAATTTTCCTAATTACAGTTCAGATACGTGGTTTACAATTTTGACCAACTGCTGAATGCGGTTCTCCAAGACGACATCGTACAAGCACTCAAGGACAGTAACATGTACTGTTTGCTTGCTGACCAATATAGCACTGCTGTGACACACTCAGACAAAAAGGCATCTATGGGCCTAATGACAAAGGCCCAGAATTCTGTGCATCAGACAAACAATGCACCCTACATCCCAGCGGACAGACTATCTAGTCATAGGGGGCTCTTTGACCCTGCAGCACCCCAGTTACGACTGCCATTACGTGTGGGTGAGGCTTTAATGGGTATGTCACAAAGTTGGGATCATCGTATCACTACTGAGCATTTGCATAGTCCAGCAAGCAGTCAACTTTATGCTGCTGGAAGCATTTATGCCACATCAGGCCAAGATCATGATGGTGAACAGATTTTCGACTTTTATTGGTCCATGATTTTTTTTAGAACTCTCTAGACCAAAACCCAAGAAAGTCATTCATTGAATGCATTGGGATATCCAAATTTGTCCCGCTTTGCATCATATGCTTATTGTGCAGGGCTGTATCTAGACAATGATGCCAAAGTTTCTATGAGAGAAGTCGTACATCGCCCTGAATCTGTAGGCTCATTGCATTTCTCATGTGACTTATCTGACAATAGTGCAAGATGAGTCCACAAGAAGGAAACTTTGTCTACGGTAATTACAAGGTCGCTGTCGAACTTAAGGGGGGAACATGGTGGTGTTGGGTTGCTACCAATGATCAACATGGTACAACCATGAACTCCTTAGCAGTGACCAACCCATGTAGCTGGACGACTGCAGCTTGCTACTGAAAACTGGCCATAGAAGGATGTTGGACAATTGTGGATGTGATACCGAAGAAGGTCTACAGCTCATTGGTAGCCTGACTGGTGCTCGAACGGGATAAGAATCCATTGTATTAAGTACAATGTCACCAGGATATGTATTCATGAATCTCCCTATAGCCCACTGTAGGTAGTACTATCTAATCGTGTTGTGTCTCCTGGGCAAAGGCCAACACCGCATCTGGGCATATCGTATCTGCAGCACTGAGCATGATAATTCCCATCTTGTAGAGACAGCTTTCCAGCTACGGTAGAGTGATTGAAGAGTGTTTGATTGAGGTCATCGTGAGCCTCAGCATTCTTGCCCCCCTAGTCGGCGATGCCTGCTGAAAGCAGAGCTCAAGAGCGTCAAAATCTGGAGAATCAAAAAGGAACTTACCATGGGCGGCTCCTTCGACACCTGACATTGCTTCTTGGACTTGCGCTGAGATTGCTGCACCTCAAAGGTGGGGGGCAATTAGCCTAACATGCAGACACGTAGATAGAGCAGAGTTGAACTCACATCCTCCCTGGCACCAGTAAACTGTCGTTGTGTTCTTTGAGCCGCCTGCGTCCACAATTGGACTGGACAGGGATAGGACCGTGGACGTCCATGTGAATGAGGTCCAGGGCCTCTGACGCCCACCAGGAGGCCCTCAGAGGCACAGGAGGCCAGTGCAGCTTGCCCAAGATGCAAGGCTCATAGATGGCATCTGGAGCGGTGTCTGAGTTGAGCTTGAGGCTGGAGACGCTGTCCTCCTTCAGCATCCGGCGCACGTAGTCCACGTTGACGTGCCCAAAGCGCCAATGCCAGAGCTCCAGGTCCAGGGCGCAGGTGCTGGCAGGCTGGGCGTGCTCCAGGGCTGGCAGGGTGCACCTGTTGACAATGGTGGCATTGGAATCACTCACAGACACGGTGAACAGCTTGGTGGTACCTCGAACAAAGGCCATAAGGCCCCTGGTGATCACAACACGAATGGATTTGTGCTGAGTGAGATACAGGACTGATAGGAGGTTAGAGCAAAGCTCTGGGACATGTAGCACCCTGGTCCACTCCACTAGATGTGATTCCTGACCCTCCACCACTGGCTGGAAGTGAACGGAGCCAACACCGATGGCATAGACGAGTATGTGAGTCAGCAGGGCAAATGGGGACGTTGTAGGGCATGTAGGAGACGAACCAGTGATGGTGAGGTGGCATATGAGCAGTGGCCCCTGTATCGGCGGTCCAGTCAGCGCTGGGGACGTCTAGAACAGTGGGGAGGGGCTCAGGCAACAAGGAGACACTTGCATTGCCAGCCAACTCGACATGGATGGTGTCAGGGTAAGCACTGGACCTCCTAGGAGCAGCGTGGATCCCTTGGGATGGTGGCAGAGACGCTGTCGCACAAGCCAGGAAAGCAACTGAGAGAACAAGTCTGAGTTGCTCCCCGGTGCAACAGGCGACTATATAGCAGCTGAATAATCCATCAGCAAAACAAGGGACGGTCCAATGAGAGAGAGGGAGGCTCCTCAGGTGCCTGGCACGTGACCAGTGTAACGGCCTAGGAAGGCTGCACAATGTGCAGAGGCCCTAGGAGTGCTGAGTGGCAGAGCCAACAGGGGAAATGCCAAAAGGAGCATGCGGGAAGCCTAGGAAGGTGTGGGAGAGTATGGCCAAATAGGGAAGTGGAAGCATTAGGAGGTATGAGCAAATGGGGAAAGAAGTGGAACCAAAGGGGAAACAATGGGGGCATGAGGCAAGTGTGGGAGGCATGCCCTGACACCCTCAGATTGGAGGACATATCTACTATTCTAAGACATAATAAAGATAAAGAAGGAGATGAATACCTTCTAATACTGCTACTGAAGCAACACATGAAGGACAGCCGAGCTGAAGACCTTGGACTGGTGGAATGGTTCAATATCAGACCTAAGGAAGAGAAGGCCGATGAGGTTGATAACCATGAGGTCAACAAAAATAGAACAAACAAAACAACGATGCCTACTGCACACCAATTATTCATTGCTCCACAGGTGATGGCAATAAAGACGATACAGAAGATGATCTGTACGCGTTGCTGGATCCTGTTGATGGGAACCGAAGAAACAGTACACCACAACTGATGGGAACAGCCCCACCACCATGTGCCCAAACTCCCCTAGCACAGGCTGTAATGGCATCACCCACTCACTGTAAGCCACCAGATGAGTAACATACTATTGAGTATAGGCTCTGGGAGTAACCTCAGTAATGGTAGTAGTAGCTCCAGGAGTAGTGGAAGAAGCCGACTACCAGACAGACAGGGAAACACACCTTGGAGCACCCCAGGAAGCAGGGGAAATTCTGGATCAGACCTGGATGACAACAGTGATGGCAACCCTGAGAATGATTTGTGGATGCCAACACCCAGACTGCCAAGAAATGATGAGCACCCTGCTAGAGAAGAGTTGTACATACCATTCAGTAATGAATTCACTGGACGTAGTCTACGAAGTATCTATCATAAAAAGATTAGATATATGATAGAACTGTATGTAGGGACATACAGTGAACCAGTCCTAAATACAAAGAATCAAAAACCACCAAGCCCAGACCGATGGGACACCCAGAATGATGTAGACAAATTCTTAGATTGGCCTGAGTCGCTTCTCAGATATTCCATACTCACCAGTCTGTCTGGACGAAATCAAGATCTCAATCGTAAGCTGCACATACTGGCCCGATTAGGTCAGAAGGTGTGTCATTGGTGGTGCTTGAAAGTGTCTAGAATGAATCCCAGAATGCCGATCCTGACATTTACAATTGATATGTTCAACCACTTTGTGGTCAATATAACTCTTGAGAAAGCTATCCAAAAAATAAAGAAATCAAGTTTGATCCCAAAGCCAGAGTACAGTGTTTCTACAATGAATTGATGGAAGCATCATGGAGGTTATTACAGCCTCCATCGGAAGTGGATATGTCAGAACATTTCTTACAAAATTACCTACTCCGTATATGATGCACCTAATGTGCAATAAGGATGTACAAACTGGTATTACTAAACTACAAGATATGGTTGGGTAGGCAATTGCATACGAGAATGACTAAC